TGGGAACACAGCCAGGACGCTGTGAAGGCCAGTCCAGGCCGCAGGGCCTGGCTGCAGTGCTGGCATCCCTATACGACCATAAGAGGTGGCCTCGTGGCACGAATGATGCTAACAGTGGCAGCCTGCGGCATGGACAGTTCCCTCTCCAGGTGTCCAAATGACCTATCGCTCTGGCACTTGATGGGGTAGCCCCTCACATCCACCTGTGTTTGACCTGCAGGGCGACAGAAAGCAGGAGGTCAGAAGTGTGGGCCAGTGTGTCTTCAAAGTCCTCGAGAGCCGACAGCCCGAGGGGCCCAGTCCGAGGCCCCTCCTCCCAGTCGTGTCTAAGGTCACCAGTCTCGCCCCAGGCACCTTCCATGAAGGTACCCCCCCCAGGCTGGGGCCCCTGTTGCAGAATAGAGATGAGCCCCCCGGGGAGGGAGGGAGGGCAACGGTTGCTGCGGCTGAGTGGCCATCGGGAGGCCCAAGAGCCTGGGACGCTGTCAGGAGCTGCTGGTTCCCCGGAAAGGCCTGGCAGTGCCCGTGCGGCCTGAGCCTGTGGGGTTTCCTGGTCGCCCCCAGCACTGTCCTCGCCCCTCTGTAGAACAGACCAACCTGCTCAGCAAGAGGCTGGTGGACTGGCTGCGCTACGCCAGCGTCCAGCAGGGGCCTGCCCATTCCTCTGGAGGCTTCTTCTCTACACCCAGGGCCCGGCAGGTGAGACTGGAGGGACTCTCAGAGATGCTCTCCCTCGGTGTCCCTGGGCCACCCCGGCCAGCCTTGCCTGCAGGGTCCCGTTGACTCTTCCTGTCCTCCCACCTGCCCGGGTTCCAGAATGATCCTTCTTTCCCGTCTCCATGCGGCGGGGAGTGGGGGGAGAGCTTTGGGTCACAGAGGGTCCCAGTCCCCCAGCCCATGACGCTCTGAGCATCTGTGGAGGCCCTGACCCTGCTGGTGAGGGTCGCTTGTCTGACTCCAGTGCCCGCATTTGTGCTTCCTGCAGAGGGTGGGTGCCCCCAGTGCTTGAAGGTCAGGGTGGATGAGCCCGTGGCGTGTCCAGCCTCAGCCCCCGCCCTACCCTGCCCCAGCGCCACCTGTTCCCCTTTGCCTCCCATAGCCGGGTCCTGTCACTGAGGTGGACGGGGCCGTGGCCACAGATTTCTTCACGGTGCTGTCCACGGGCCAGCGCTTCACGGAGGACCAGTGGCTGAACGTGCAGGCCTTCTCCATGCTGCGGGCCTGGCTGCTGCTCAGCGGCCCCGGGGGCCCCGGCACCCCGGACGCAGGTGAGACCCCCGTGCCCCTGGGAGATAACTGTCCACCAGGGCTGAGCCTCGTCAGCACCAGCGGGCGGGTCAGCGTAGAGCGATGGCTTGGGGCCGGCGGGGCGGGCGTCCTCCCGGAGCCCCCCG